TAATAAAATATTGAATAATAGTCAAATGTTTGCAGCAGAATTTGGTACAAGTGATCGTCAGAAAGAGTTAATGATTTACGTCTAGTCTATTAAGTTAATATATAATATGCATATATATATATATATAGTAATAATTAAAATAGAAGTAAAGCAGTTTGGATTGTAAATTTATTCTTAAGGTTTAGTGTTGTGGGACTTATACAAAGTTAGTAATAAGTGTTGGCTTTGAATATAATGACACTATATTAATGAATTTTCTTTAAACTTATAAAGTTTTGTTGAGTCATAGCAAATAATACTACTTTGAGCTTTTTACATCTTAACCAAAATAGTAAAATTATTGTACTTAAAGTATCCTTTTTACTTTTTCATACTAATTATGTTTTTAACACTTATTTTTACTTTATTTTAGAATTCATAATAGTGCCTAATATATTGACTATTATAATCAGTGTTTAAAATTTGATGTTCTCATATTCTCAAGAGAACATTTAAATTTTTTTAAGAACATTAATAGTCAATATAATGTTCTCTTATTTGAGAACATTTTGTATAGACAAAATGTTCTCAGAGAGAACATTTATAAATTCTTTTTGTTCTCAATTTTATTATTAAGAATAATAAATTATAAATAATGTTTTCATTTATTTCTTCTCTAATAGATATTGTAACTAATAAAATACTTGTTAGTGATATAATCTGATAAGTTTCAAAACCTTAATTTGAAAGATTCTTGGTGTAATCCAAGGCACTAGTTTCTTTAATAACTCAGACCAAGTCTTTTTACACTTTTTTTGATGCCACCACTATTAAAGCATAGATTAAATAATGTTTAGTATAGTATTTGGTATTGGTGTTTATGGATGCTTATGTAATACATATTTTTGATTTAGAAGCAATTCATACTTCTTCAATGTGCATATTAATTCTTTCTATATTAGGTTTAACTATCAATTAATTATTAATGTCACTTGGAATTAAAATTAGGAATGTTAAGTGGTCTACGGGGAATGAGTCTGGACCAGACTTTTTAGGAACTAGCTCCAAAACTAGTTTTGACATCACATGATATTTCATATGATATTAATAGAGTGTTATTTTTGACACATTAAATAGAATCCAATAAATAAGAAATCATGAACGATACTCTTTAAGTAACAGTATTTTAAATAGTAATTCACATGTTTCAATTTAAATTCCAATTGGAGAATTAAATTAGTTAGGCCTTTCTTACAGTATTTCGCTTTTGATCAATAATGGCATTCCCGTTTTAAAACTTCACTAGGATTATTAAGTGCTTCAATTGATAAGTTTAAATCAAATTGATCAAAATTAGTAAATGCTTTATTGTTTTTATGCCATATAGAGTTTCAAATTATATTAAACCACTAGGGTAGGACTGGTTTTTAACTAATTTTTGACAGGGGTGAACTAGTTTTTAACTATTCCAGGACCAGACTTCTTAGGAAATGGACCTGGACCAGACCAGATGCACCACTTAACATTCCTAAATTAAATTGAAAAAGCTTAACTAAAAGTTGATTTAAAATCAACTAATTAAGCATTTTAACATCCTTACTTTAATGCTTAGTAATTGTGAAAGCTATCAATACAAAGTTCTTATATTATCCCTGCAGCCACAAATTTTATAAATCATAATTCTGTAATCATCAACTCTTTAATTCTATTAATGTGTATTTATTGCTTTTTAATCATAAAATAGTCAATAACCAGGTTGATAAAGTGAAACAACAGAACCATCTCTTTGCTATAAGGTGGACGATAGCAATTGTTTACACAATATATTAGTCTTAAACAAATCACTATCTAACTAATACATTTTAGTGCTTTCTATCTCACAATTTATATGTAAAAAAATAATTACTATTGTTAGCTTATGATTGTACTTTGAGGTGTAACAGGCTAGCCTATTATACACTCTAATTGTACTATACTAAAAAATTCCTATTACCCAATACTTTACTTTTAAAATGCTTGAATTTAACAAGGCGCCAAAGCATAATTACACTCAAATCTATAATAGAATGTTTATTTAAAATATTTCTATGCCGATACATATGCCTGACTTTAAGCTATTCTTTATTAACAGTATTTTTTCATGCAATATAGTATATGACTAATTAACATCTTAACTTTAAATAGATTATTATTTTTATATATACAAGATTGTTATGTAGCACCTATTATTTACCATAAAAGCCTATTCTTAATATGCTTGAATTATTGATGTATAATGAAAGTAAAACATATTTACCAAACTAAGAGAGGAGTGGTAGTAAGAGATCTGCCAGACTTATGCAATTTCAGGGATTTTTCATTGAACAATAAAAATTTCTGAAACTGCATAAGTCTGGATACTCTAATTTATCATAACTATGTATCGTTTGCATAGAAATTTACAATAGTTTTATTTGTATTAATATGGTTAAATTGAAGAACCAATGTTAGCAATAAATATGATATAAAATTATTAAAATTTGTAAGCGATAACAATTGCTTATGTTAAACATATCAAATCGAAAACCCAAATCTATTGATATAAATCCATTTTCTATTGCTGCTCAATTAAAAGAAGGTTCAAAAATGTTGATAGTGAATCTTCTACTGAAAAAAGTGAAAACAATCCCTGCCAGCTTAAAGTACTACGATTGGCCAAAGAATTATTAAACTGGGATCCAAATTGGCCTAAACTATATCCTTGAGTTTATCGTAGAGAAGGATCATTAACCAAATTTATGTTCTGTCATTGGTGCAAAGAGGCTGGTAAAAATAATAATTTTACCAAAGGTTGTGAATACTTTAAAAAACAATACTTAGATCGGCATATTAATATTAATGATCATTGGTTAGTTTGTGCTGCTCGAATACAATCTCAAATTACCTTGCATTTTAGTTTTGCTATTCAAGCTGGACTGATCAAATTAAGGTTATGAGAAATATGCACAATATATATTTTTTAATTCAACATAATTTGTCTACCAACATATTTGAAAGTTTGTATAAGCTATTTGAAATTCAACATGGTGAAGACCAAAACCAATTTGAATGTGGTACTGAGATTTTGAATTTATTTGATAATAACCAGCTTGCTGATAATGATGAATGAGCACAATATGGTAGTTATCAAAATAATGTTTTAGCACGTGAATTTATTGAATCAATTGGTCATGTTATAGAACAAAAAATTTTTTAAGAATTATATAAATCAAATGGTTGGAGTCTTATACTTGATGAAAGCAATACTGTATCTGCCGAAAAAACTTTGGCAATTGTTTCTAAACATTTAATTGCATCAGCAAAACCAATTTATCAATTTCTTGGATTAATTTTATTAACAGATAGCACTGCCAATACAATTATTGCTGAAATTAATTGGTTTTTTCAAGCAAAACATATATCATATGATGATTTAATGCATATTTGTACAGATGGTGCTAGTACAATGATAGGTATATATTAAATTTTATTTTTATTGCCCCTTATACCATCTTGCAGACAAATTTCCTGCAAATTTCATGATTAATCTGTGATTGAGCTATCAAACTATATTGAATTGTAGTCTATATCATAATATACTTAAAGTTAAATTGATGGTATAAGGGATATGTATATATATATTTAAAAAATTAATATTTATAATTATTGTACTATAGGATCTCAGGTTGGTGTAGCAACTCAACTTAAAAATAAAAATCCATTTATTTTGGAGCATCATTGTATTTCTCATAAATTAGCATTAGCTGCAAAGGATGCAGCAAAACAAGTTGAAGAATTTAAACAATATGAAAAAATTGTACATAATATTTATAGTTATTTTTCACGAAGTCCAGAACATATGATGCATCTTAAAATAACAGAAGAAAATTTTGGTGACCCACATCTTACAGTTTTAAATATTATTGAAACCCGTTGGTTGTTATTATCTAATGTTATTCAAAATCTAAATCAAATTTTAAGTTCAATAATTGATGCATTGCTTGAAGATTCATATAATTATACGATTGCTGAAGCTTTATACAATAGTATTGATGAGACCTTTATTATTACAACAAAATTTTTTGCTGATATTCTTGAAACACTAAGATGAATGAATCTTCTTTTTCAAAAAAATCATATTACTATTCGTGAAGTGAAAACTCAACTTAATATTACTATTTATACTATTCAATTACAATTTCTTGGAACTAATAAAGTTAAACCATCTTGGAGAACTCATTTGCACAGGTATATGAATGATTATAATATTATTGCAGACAAATTATCTATTATTATTACAAAATTTGCACATGCCTCAATTGAATCGTTAGAGAAAAGATTTTCAGATCGAATTCAAGTTGACGCATTTCATATTTTTGATCCAATAGCTTTACCTGTTAAGAATTCTGAATTTCAAAAGTATGATGAAGATGAAATTAAAATTTTGGGCAATTTTTATAGTCAAAACAAACATAAATTAGAAAATTTATTTCCTGCAATTTTAGATTCTGAAAATTTAAATCACGAATGGCCGTCAGTTAGATTTCTTCTAACTAATTATAAAAATTTTAATTTTTTGGAAGCATGGAAACATATTTTTTCTGATCTTCCTACTTTTAATGAAATTTACCCTGAAACTGCAAAGTTAATTTCTATTTTAGTCAATCTTCCTTTAACTAATGCAGTTGTTAAACATATTTTTTCTCGACAAAACTTAATTAAGACAAAACTTCGAAATCGTATGAGTATTTATACTTTGAATTATCTTCTTCTTATTTCTTTTAATGAACCTAAATTAGAAGATTTTAATTTCCAATTAGCATATCAAGAATGGTGTAAACTTGATCGTAGAATTAAATAACTAAAATAGTATTGATATTATAGAGTTATACTGTATAAAGTATAACTTTTATACATATATATATATATTAAATTATATTTACCAAAAATGGAGTATAAAGAACATCGTATATTTAATATGTACAAGTAAAGCATATGATTCTTGGTTCTGCTTTTCTATATTCGAGTATGATATAAAGCTTTTTATATATTGACATATAATATGTATCAAAAAGAACTGCATGCATATAATATAATAGTTGGACACCTTTCAGCGCAAATAGCACTGGATATTAAAAACTTTATTAAATCGCTTTAGAATAAGATGTAGAGATATATAGCATACATTAGTGCAATTGATGTATTATATATTGGCATTAGCCATTCGTATAAAGTGGGCTGGCTGTTGGCCAGAAGCTTTGCAGTCAGAGTAGCGATGTATAATCCTAGCTAGTTGTTTCTCACCTGTGTAATGCAGGCCGGCTGTAAATCTGAAAGATTTGCAAAAATGTCAGAATTCTACTAAGAGAGGCTTCACTGTTGTTAGACCACCCATCAGTCTTTAGTTTTATATGTTCGTTATTATTATACATGCTCTGACAAATATAGTTATATTGGCGATCAGTAGTTTAATAAACTTTTACTTGCTTGTTCTTGCCTATTGTGAAAGGGTAAATTACCCCCAAAATTGCTGCGGAATCATGAAGATCACAGAAATTGTGAAAAATATAAGAAGTTTCTGTGAACACAATAATAGTTACAATTTGTAACAAAACCCGATATCTATAGTATTGAATAGATAATAGTAATTCAAAAGTAAAATAGAGAAATGACAGATTAATTAGTATGTTAATAAATTATTGTTCTTTATGTAATCACGATATTTGAAAAATAATATAAAAGCAGCAATACTTTTCTTCAAATAAAATACATAACTCTTGGCATCAAAACTTTGAAATTAATATAGTAGAAGTATCCAAGTAGTATTCAAAACCTTTTTTATTAAAACATATCGGTCGTAATATTCGTATTTTCATATTTTCTTGTCCCTATGACCTAGTTGACCTGTTATTGTAATTTGTTAAGAGAAAGTGAGAAAGATCATATTGGTAATCAAGACCCCTTTTATATAAAAACAAATAGTGATTACCTTTGTGATCAAATCCATTGTTACCAAATATCTACATAATCGTATTTCAGCATCCACTGATGCTGAAATAAGTCACATGTCTCAAATAAGCAGTAGACCCGAATTCAAGAGAAAATAAGTAAAACTATTAGTATCGAGTAGATATATAAAGGAATTATAAAGAATTATAACAAAGGTAAAAAAGATACTTATTCAAGTCCTAGAAGTATACTAGCAAGACCCAAAGTTTCCAAGCTCAGACCAAATTTAACCACACCTCGATCATAACCTACCAATTAGAAATTTTAGGTCTTGTTAGATATCGATATTGTTTAGTAGAATTGATTTGTATATTGCACCATTTATTATTAGAGTTAGGTTATATTTTCATACTATATCAGATTTTCTTGTTAGAGCCGGGATCACCCATGTGATTGTTGGCTTATTGGCACATCACTGCTTGGCTGTCTTTAACTTGCTGTCAATATGAAAAATTTAAAACTGCTTTTAATATAGGCAAGTTATAACTTGCTTTTACCTGTTTTATTTGTAATTCTACTTACATTAGTAAAATAGTTTCATTACTAATAATTAATACTAACTATGCAACTTCTTAATACATATGTAATGCATTCTATTATTCTATAAATAGTATTTTTTTCAAATTTACAGCTATATACATATGTACAGTATATATTAATTATCAAGTTTTATAAAATTAATTTTTAAATTTGATTTACCTATTTCTGATATTACAGTTAATTAGTAACTTTTACTACCAAATTATTTAGCTCAAATAGTAAGCACAGTTGCTAAGAATTAAAGCTAATATAAAAGAAGAATAAGTATTGTAGTTATGTTCTATTTGTTTATTACTATAAAGAGTCAATATTAACTTTATAATTTTTGCTTTGTTTATAAATCAAATTTAATTAATTTGTTATATCTTATATTCATAAATTGATTCACTTATTGCATTACTAATTCTTGTGTCATATTTGATTCAGATCTAGATTAATAATTATATAGATAATGTAAACAAGATACAATTAATTTTTTCTTTTCTATTTACTTATTATTTTAGGTTCTAATTTTATATTTTAACTAATTATATTCTAAAAAAATTTACAGATAAGGATCCAAAAATAAAATAAATACAAATAAGGGTTTAAAATGCAAAGAATTATATATAGAGGCCCAATATTTGAAAATTATTACAAATAAGAGATTAAAATAATTATGCAATTAAGAATTCATAATTTAAGCTCTGTTTTAATAATTCAAATATGATTTATAAAATAGTCATTAATTGTTAGTATATAAGAAATATATTAATAATTAATATATCTAAAATTTTTACTTGTAAAATAAATTTTTAATTTGTATTTTGCTGATTTATATATAAAATTTAAATATTAAGTATATTATATAGAGAACATTTTAATAAAATTATAAGCAATATTAAAAAATTAATGTTCTTTATAATAAACATTAAAAATTTTTTGAGAACATTAAAAATTTATATTAAGTTTATTTAAGAACATAATTTTAAATTTGAATTTTAAACACTGATTATAACTGCTATCAGCTTAATTCTAAAATATATATATGTTCAAATAATGAGCAACAATGTTATAATCAATCTGATTATAATAACTATAAAACAGCTAAACATATAATTCAAAATGCTATCTTGATTTTTTATATTCTAAATAGAATGGCAAAATTGCTATACTAAAATAATTTTATAATTTATCTTTTATGACATTTGTGTTTTAATACTTTAGAAATATTTTTATTTATAGAAAACATAGTCGCAACTAATATATCAACTATTATAACTAATTAATAGTTTAATTCTAGTATTCAATTAAAGACATCTATGTGTTCGAATAATATGCAAGAAAATGATAATGAATCTGATTGTAATAATGATAAAACAAATGAATGTGTAATTCAAATTAGTGCTATATTTCTAAATTAAGAATCATTCAAAAATTCATTAAAAAAATATGAATTAGAAATTAAATTTAAATTAATTAAATATTGAGTAGAATGTAAAAATGATAAAATAATTTGTTGATATTTTATTTGTGAATATTTAAAAAAACATCAATCTAAAAAAAATATTAATATTACATGCTATAAAGATAAAATATAAAAAAAGTTGGATGTTCTTGGCAACTTAATGCAGGATATAAAAAAAGTGCTAGTACTATAATTGTTAATAAATTTATTGAAAGTTATAACCATTCACTTGTACTATATAAAAAAGAATTTGCTCCAAAATTATGTTTACTTTTACAAGATGTTTTTGATGCAAAAAAGTTTCTAATACAAGAATGTAATCTTGATGCTAAGGCTCAATATTAGTATATTTTAAAGAAATTTCCTGATTAACTATTGTATAATTATGACCTATATAATACTATATATCAGTATACAAGTCAATTAGGTAATCAACAAAAAAATAATGCAGCAGATATAGTAAAGTGGCTTATAAAGCAACAGAAACAAGAGCCCAGATAGGCTATTTATATTGAACATAAAGGCATTGATAATAACCTTTTATAGCTTTTTTGAATGATATCTGCATAAATAGAACATTAAAAATATTATAATGATATTATAGTTAATAATAATATAGTAAAAACTAATGCATATAATATGCTTCTTAATCTATTTGTAATTGTTGATAATTATAATCAAATAAGACTTGTAGCACAGTCCTTGTTCAGGATAAGACTGTTAGTTCTTATATATAGATTTTAAATTGTAAATTAAGAGCAACAGACATTCTGTCTTCTAAAGCAATTTTTACTGATACTAATCCAGTTATGACCTCTGCTATTAGCCAAGTTTTTCTTACCTCTAAGCATAATCACTGTATCTTTTATATACAAACAAACATTACAAAAAAATTAGCATGAAAATTAGATAACATATATAGTAGTTTTTTGCAAAGTTGGTTTCAATGTTATAATAGTTATAGTGAAATAGAATTGAAGCACAATTGAAATGCATTATTGGCTTAATATCTAGCAAGTTAAAATTACTTACAACAGCTTTGAAAATTATATAAATTATAAGCTAAAATTTATATATTTACTATATTTTGTGCTAGGATGCAGAGCATTTGATGGGTAGAAAGTATAAATAGAATTATTAAGAATGAAGTTATACAAAAACAACACTTGTTAATTTGGATAAAGCAATTTAAGCAAAACTTGATTATAAGGCATAGCATTAAAGATTTTCTGAATATAAAAATATTATCAACTCAGAGACTACCAAGTATACAAAGTGTTTTTTTTAAGACTATTTAAGATGAAATTAAAAAGTATTTAACAATAAAATTTGCTTTTATTCAAAGTACTCAAATATCTTAAAGTATTTTATATCAAACATGTTTAGTTGAAATTGCAAACTTAACTTCAGTATAGTATATGCTAATTATATAATTGATTTGTTAATTAAATATAAATATATACTAGTTCTAAATATTTGAAAGAGTATCTAGAAGATAAATATAATGCATTACAAACTACTTAAAACTATTACAAATATGATAAATCAAGAAAATATTCTTGAGCTTTGGAAGGTATCTTTATTTGATCAGTATATAAATAGTTATTCTTATTATATTGTTCTATTGACTGATAATACCTATCTTTGCATGTGTCTTTATATTATTTCAAATAGATTTTATTGTAGATACTTTTTTAGTATTCTCAAAATATTCTGTAATGCTAAGTTTGATATTAAATTAATATCTAAATGCTAATATGCAAATTCAAAGTAACTGTTAGATTCTTTATTAATTAGAAGCATAACTGTAAAAAATTATACAATTAAAAAAATGAATTAAGTAATTTTTATTCATAAGCAAGACATATATTAGCCTAATATTCAAACAAGTATTATTACACAAAAGCAAGAATATGCATGTGGCTTCAGTGTTGCCAAAAGTGAACTAAAATTTGTACTGTAAAGTGATTTAGTTAATGAGTTTGTAGAATTGATAACAGAATTTATAGAGAATCATACTAATGATAATACTAATCAGTGAATGCTAGTTGATATTATTCACAAAAAAATTAAAACATAAGAAACATCTAAAGATATCAAGTTCTACACAAAAGGTTCTTCAAAATTTAAATATAAAAAATGCTAAGACTTCAAGACCTACTAAACAAGAAAATATTCAAACAAATAACAATAATATTAAACTGAATAAGAAGTTCAACATTGTAGTAATTGTCACAGAATAGGGCATTATACTTCTACTTACAACTTTTTAAACAATCAATTTTAGATTATGTATAAGTTGTCTATGTAATATGTACAAGTTTATATTTGCATATTAGATGATATTAATTGCATCTATTTAATGGTAATTATATTAAACATAGACATTATAATTAAAACATTAATTCATAATCTGTATAGAAACCAGTAAAATCTATTAATAAATTTTGAAGAACTTTTTGCAGATCATTTATAAAAGAAATAAAAATAGCAAATCTTATTCCAAAGATAGCTTTACTAAATTAAGTTTTAGTTATATTTAAAAATAATGCAATTGATTATACAAGATCACAAGAATAAAGGTTTAAAATTTTTTTTCAAAACAGTTTATTTTTCAAGAACTTTTTATTAAGAAAATGTCAGATTCCTACCTCTTAAAACTATAATTTTCTAAGGTTCAAATATATAAATTTATAGATTTCTATTAGTTATTTATAGAAAATATTATTTGTGCTGTTTTTTGCTAATATTGCATCACATATCTAGCTATTCAGTTCTGAATCATTAATACCTTGGGAATATCACTTTCTTTCAAACTACTTATTTTTGCCAGTTCATCTAACTTCTTTCATATTTCTTCTGTGCTATATCTATTACTTTTATTAGCATTACCAACCAAAAAATATTCTTTCAAGTAGGCTATTACTTGCTTACTAATTCTTTTACCTGTTTTTTTTTTCTTGAATTTTTAATTTTCCTTTAGTATCCAATCTAATTTAAGCAGAATATTTTATGCACACTATATTTAGTAGTAGATAATATAAATTCTTGTAAGCATATATATATAGATAGAAATCATGAATACAATATTACTTTTTTTTGATTTACATTTTTAATTGATCATGATCAGCTACCAAATAATGAAAAGAAACTAAAATAGAAATATCGATGTTGAGACTAGACCAAAAAAGAAATTTTTTTATAGCAATAATTTACCATTACATATATTTATAATAGCATTTATAATTTACATTAAACCAGTATTGTTATAGGAATTTTCAAACAATACAAAAATAATACCATATGGCATTACTATCAAAATTCATATTTTTATATAATATAATATTGGTTTAATGTAAATTACAAATGCCACCTATTATATTTACTACATGATTTATAATTAGAAATGAATATTAAGCTAAATTGGACAAAGTTAAATAAAACTGGATTGTTTATTTACTTAAAATAATGAACTTAACAGTTTAGCAGAGTAGACAGATGTTCAGTATCATTGGTAAATATAATAGTTATGTAACTATGATTTTGTAAAAAATAGTAATAAATAAAAGAACACTACCTGGTTTATGTAGCAGTAGGACAAGCCACAGAGACTTGGGCAATGAATATTAAGAAACTTGAAGATTCAGTTTTTGTATTTTTTTCTTTTTTAATTTTTTTAACTTTGCAGGTAAAAAATTATTTCATTCATTGATATTAGGTATTGCATATGCATAGATATATCCTTTATAATCACCATCACAGAGCCACTCTCATGAGAACCAATTTGAATTACCTAGTAGAGTATTGATCCTTCTTTTATCTAAAACTAACAAAAAGGTTATTCTAATCAATACTTCATGCTTCATATATTACTCTTGTTACCTTTATTTTGTTTTGGCTCTAAATAAGCTACTGATGTTTTATGAATTTCTTCAATTGCTAACTCAATATCTGATTCTTCTGTAATATCAAACCCTAAATGAACATAATGACTAATTATATGTAAAATCTAAAAAAAAACAAATAATAAAAGTAGTTAGAAGGTGTTATATGAATTGAAATTAGTTTAATCGACTCAAATTCATATAGTAAACTACTATATTTAGTTGATTAATAAATTAACTAAACTGATTCCAATCTCAAGTATCAAAGATAAAAAAAAAATTTGCAAATCAAACCTGTGCATAATGGGAATTAATTATTGTTTTAGCCTTCTTTGTTTTAAAAAAAGTCTATTTTTTAATATATATATTATATCATTTTTTCTATTGCTTCATAAGCATTATTAAATCAGCATTATACTAATGAGAACTATTATTAGATCAAAAAGTAACCTATTTGGGCTAAGAATTTGGTTTATTTATTGTAATATGCAATGAGGAAGCTGTAAACTATGCATCTTGAAATGTGTCTTCTAACTAATAATCAAATGTACGAACTTGTAAATTGCTACTATTAGGCAGATAAGTATATATTAATAATGAATATAATTACTATTCTTTTTTTCTAAAGAAAACTTGCTTTGTTTTATGTGCACTTTTTAGTAAAATTTTCATTTTATAATCTACAATTATTATAACACCTTTTTTATCAAACTTACTTAAATGTATATTTAATTGTGCATTTCAAATAGATTTTCCTAGTTTGATGTGCTAAATAATATAATAAATATTCTTGTAACTCTCTTAATTCTATATAAAAGTCAGATGGTATATGTTCTTAAACTTGACTAAATAAATTAAAAAAGCTCTACAATTATTATAGATTAGATCATAAATTTCTGAACAGGTTTAAAAAGTATAGAGCATATAATGAATAATACAGGTATCATGCTTTGTATAATCTAAAAAGTCAACTTTTAATTTATTTTTGAATTTTTTTTAAATATCTTTGCAGGTTATTGTATTCAGTTAACAATCATTCCTTATTATTTCTTTTATCAATTAGTTAATCTTAAAGGTAATTACATATCAAAATTCAAAAATTTGATATTTGAATGAGATACTTTGAATGTAATCAATATGTAATTCAGGACTATATAATTTACTGAACATGAATGTTTGCAAAATTACATCACAAAATAAATCTTCATTATGCTAAACATAAATTTAGAAAATTTGATAATTAGTATTATCAAATTTTTTGAGTGTAAGTTTAGCATAGTAAAATATTAAATTTGTACTAACTAGTCTTGCCTACGCAGCATCTGTATTGAATAGCATTTGAAAGATACCATCTAATACTTCAAATTTTTTAGCTTTGAACAGCTTAATTATAATATAAAAATTTAGCTAACAATCCAAGTTTGTATAGTTTTGTATTAATTTTCAAAGTTTGTCAAATGTTTCATAACTATACATATTACAAATTGAGCAAAGGCCACTTAAATCTTCTTTATAGATATATTACCCATCTTGTAAATACTTATAAAATACCATTCTTTTAATACCATTAGGATACTCTTCATGAAATCATTCCTATAAGACCTCTTTACTATTTTTCAAATAATATACAGATAATTCAGTAGCACTATCAGTCTTATAAGAACTCATTATAACTTTTGCTTTATTTTTAAAAAAATATTCAATCTGTTTTTTTTTCAGGTACCAATTTTTCTAAAGTAATTTTAGGCTTTTCTAATTGAACACCTTCTCAACTATTAATGTGTGCATAATAATGTGCTTTAGTAATTAAATAATTTAAGACCTAAAATAAATTTTTTTTTATTTGTTTTAATTTTTGTTCAAATATTTGAGAGTTTTGTCTTGAAAAAATCTTATAGGACCTAGAATTATTATGGCTTATAATATTATTTTCAAAACAAACTCTATATAAATATTTACATAAAATACTAATAGATAAATTTTTTTTTATTATTTATAGAGAAGTTTATTAGTAATAATAGATAATATTTATCTCTTTCTATCAACTCTATGAATATTACCATCTAATGCATCTTGAAATGTATTTCAAAATTGATCTATAGTAATTTCATAGTTCTCTAGGATATTTTAAAGATATCCATATTTATACAACTGCTTTAACATAGCTTAATCTTTTTCTGAATTTTTTGATCAAGTTCAGAACTCAGACTACAAGAACCATAAAATTAGAATTATACTGTATATATATATATACATATATACATATATATATATACACTGTAATGTACTAAACAAAATACTTTGGTATATGACTCAGTAGGAGGGTCATATTGTTTAAACACATGCATATTTCACATTCATAATAGATAAGTACTGCTAAGATAAAATCACAGTTCAGTCTTTCAATTATATTTTGTACCAGATACTAGTGATACAAATTAAAATTGAAATTAATCAATTAGTTGATTAGTTGACAACTAATCAACTGAACATATTAGACACCAACTAATCAATTAATCGACTAATCATTTAGTTGCAACTAGAATAAGGAATGACATAGTAGTAACATATTAACATCACTACTCAAATTTTATATGACATAGGTGACATAAAAGTAATATGCTACCTTTGATCTTCTAAATGTTTCAACACTAGTTGCAACTAATTGACTAAAGAATTAATTAATTAGTTGCAAAGAATTAATTAAAAAATCATTTATTTACTTAATAAATTAATTGCAACTAATCAATTAATTGACCATTTGCAACTAATTGATTAATTGATTAGTTGCAACTAACTGAAAAAATAATGACCAACTAATCAAGTGAAAAAAATTTGTCAATTTGTAACACTACCAGATACAATCTATTTAATTTATTAGGATTGTGGCCAGTACAAATTATAATTAAAAGTCTGAACTGTGACTCTTCTTTGTTAGTACTCAGATGATCTAGAAATTTTTTAAAAAAACCCACATTTAATTAATAGAGATTCTATGTTTTGAACCAAAGTAATTTGCAAAAGATATTGAAAAGATATTTTAGTCAATACACTAGTTTGTATATATATCCTTTTTTTTTTGAAAAGATTAATTTATTACTGTAGACTCTTTTTCAAAAGTTGTTATATCAGTACAGCCTATATCTTGTAATAGAGCTTTTCATGCATGCAACTCATAATCTATAATAGCATAATTTGGTAGATATATTTCTTTTAGTTTGTTATTAATTCAATAATATTGCTTTCTTGTTTTTGCCAACTAACAAAAAAGTTTTTTCATTCTATAGATACAGCAATAAATTTTTTAAGATAATAATAAAAAAGCTTGTTTATGATCTGCTCATTTTGCCAATCTTCTATCATACATAAAAGTGTTTGCTCTTTATTGATTGCTAACTTTGTCTGCTCATGTTCAAGCCCAAAAAGTAGGCTTCCTGTATACTGTGTTAATATACCAATTTTATTCCAAACAGTATTAAGGTCAGTATTATGAAAATCATACATTTTTTGAAATGTGTAGTATATTTTAATAATTGCTTCTTTATCATTAAATTTCTGAAAAAATAATGCATGAATATGGTTAAAGTTATGTATAAAAAAACTTTAATATTCTTTTCCAGCATTGTTTTAATTAAAATTGTTTGATTTATTAATTTCCAAAATAGTTAAATATAAATTCCCAATTTTAAAAGTAAAAAAATAAAAATAAATATCTTAAAGTAAAAATTTGCATATTTTCAGATCATTAAATCCCATAACCAAAAGATCATCTAATTTAGTTTTTATAAAAAAAAGCTTGTTTATATACAGAGGTAGCTGCCACTAATGAACTTTTACATATATTACTTTGTAGAGCTTCATATTGATATAAATATCCAAATTCAAAACTATCCTGAACTACTGTAATTATAAAATCATGTTGATTTATTGTAGTTCTAGTTTTCATATCAAGATGAATTAGATAAAGAACTGTATATGTTGCATTATTATTAGTTGAGCAAGAAATCCACCAATTTTTAGAATATAGCCTAGAATATAAATTTTGAATAATTTCACCAAGTGATATAACTGAAACTTTATATTTTGGCATTCTAAATAGTTAATAAAAATATATTTAAAAAGATAAAGAGTAATTGGCTTAAGTTTTCTAAGTAAAAGTATTGCTATAAACATCATATGAAATATTCATTTTAATTATTTATACCCTTATTTATGTTTTTTTATTTTATTTATTTAAGGTGAAGTCTTGCTTGTATTTTTATTAAGTAATTTATAAAATAGTGACATATGTGCAATATATATATTTTACTATTTGTACTAGTACAAATAAAAAGAAAATTATATACAAGAATAAAAGCTCAGACAATTAAATAAATCTAATTT